TTCATAAGGCTGTGTGTGCTTCCAGTCAGCTGTTTACCTCCTGCATATATCGATTGTTTCATCAATCAATAAAAAAATAGACGGCAATAAAAACAAAAGTCTGTCGAATAGAATCAGTAAAGTTCCTTTTCCATTTCTAATGAGTAAATAATAGCCTATATTTCAAGGATAATGATTTGTAGTTAACAAATAAAGATTCCGCTAACTTTTGGCCAGGTAATCAGACAAACCAAAACATATTTATCTGAATAATTTATATTTACAAGTAAGCCAGTGTGAAAAATTCGCACAGCATATTGTTAAGTGATCAAATGCCAAATTAATTAGAAAATAAAATAATGCAAGGTATCAAAAAATAAAGAAATCAATTGTTACTTTATCGATTAATATAATCGACCAAGAAAACAAAAATTAATTTAATTTTTAATTTTTAAATAATTAAACATTAAATCTTCATTAATGTTTGGAACCAGCATGTTTACAAATTTCAATCAGCTGTATTGGTGGTTCAATCTTCAGATTTTGTGAAGAATTAACGATGATATGGCATGCCGATCAAAAACACCATCGATAAATAATATAAACTCCTCTTCTCTCGATCATAGTGACCTCAAGTCGACGAAATGAGACATGTATTCAATGACAGTACTACAATTAACGTAAGGTTGTGTGGATGCGAACCCTATGCCTTGAGTTATCTCGAAAATAGTACTTTTTTGGACTTAAAAACGTAGGATCTGATAGTTCCGAAGAAACTATCCGGGTCTTGCTGTACGCATCAAAATCTTCAAGGTCCAACTTGTCCCGTATCGATCAACAAACCTACCACCGTTCCAGTATTAAAGCCTAGCAAAATGTTTGTATCGACTTTATTTATTTTAAAAAGAAAAACAAAAGTGGAGAATACGATTAGCTAACCCCCGTGAAATTCTGAATCCAACGGTACCCCATTCATGGTATTTGAGCATGACAAGAACTTATATTTGGTACAAAACCGATTTCGAGCCTTACTGTAATAATATAAGTGAGGATGACGATGAGGATTTGGATATTTACAAATTCGATAAAAGTTTACTTTTTACTTTTACCTTACTTTTTCACCATTCTTCAACCTTAAATTTTAAGCTGTATCATTTCCAAAATATATTAGTTTCTGAGAAAATATTTGTGAAAATGTTGGGTGGAATTAAATGATATGAATATGAGACCATTTTGTAACTTCCCGCACAATCTCTGAAAATTTTATAAAAACCGGATGAGCGGTATTAGTTTATCTGTTCACACACAAACATTCGGTTACAGACAGTCAATCAAATTTATTACATAGCACATAAACCGTAAAACGAGATTCTGAGCATTTTTTTTTTCTTCCCTACGAAGAAAAAGCTTCCATACCTACGACAGAGAGGTAGGAAGACATTTTTTAAAAATATTTTAAATAAATAAATTTTGAAATTTCTCCTAAATTTTGAACTCGATAACTAACCTATCCTCTCAGATTTAACCTTCATCAACATTCAAGGAACTGTCGGATATTGAGCTATTGAGCTAGATGGACTGTTGATAGGACCGATCTGCCAAAAGTAATATATCGTATAATGGTCCCAACGGCCGAGATAAGTCCAGCGAGGTAGAGGACTGACAAAGAGCTGGGTGATGGATCTCTTCAATGATGACATCCGATGGAAGATAATCCCGACCTTGTTGAGAATAATAGATCCATCGTTGTGGGCGTTAGGATCCATATCTTCATTTTGTAGAGTCACTGTCGCTGATCCCAAGGCTCAGGAATATTTTGCCGAAAATATATATTTTTTTTTATTTGTGCGTAAACTAATGGTATTTATTTATTTTTGTATATAACTTATTACTTTCACTTACCTATATATGAAATATATAGTAAAGGAAAGTATTGAGATCGCGAAAATTTTCGAATCTCATTCTACAACGGAAATATATGTTTTGAGGTCTCCTGAGTCAAAATAATCAAGTTTCGTAAAACCGTTTGGGTGTGTGTGCGTGTAAAGTTTATATCAACGGTGAAACACATTTTCACAATTTTTTCAGAAAACTCTCAAATGATTTTGATTAAATTCATTATATCAGTGTAAAATTAAACAGTTTTAAATAAAATATAGTTTTTATTTCGATTGACGTTCTCTAATAGGGCTTAAATAGCTAATTTTCAATATTAGCTTCCTCTTCAGTACCTTTAATTTTTTTTTATTTAAAACAATTGACTATTTCACATAAATCTCTACTATAAAATATATTTAAATATAAAATATGAAAGAATTTGATACTTAAATGAAGAAGAAATAAAAAATCGTGAGCTTAAAATAATACGGACTCCGAAAAATATAAATATTAAAATTTATATATATAAGGGTACTTATGAAAATAAAAATGCCCACAATGAAATATAAATAATTATAGCATCTATAATTTTTACTTTCACTTCTCCTTTGTCTGAAAATACTTACTGCTAAGAAAAGGGAGGTAAGTGAAAGTAATGTGATGCGCGCACCGCACCAGATTTTTTTTGTTGTTTATTGGTTTTCTAATCATTATCTATGTATTAAAATAAGATATTATTAGTCTATTTGAACTTAAGGGTTGAATTTTGAGGGCTCTACCAAAACATGAAATCCTTTCGTATCTAATCGTTTCAATACAAAATTCTTTGTAAATTCCTCAATGCTTCTTACTTTGACCACCCAAAAATAATCCATAATGTCTTTAATGTTTCATGTGTTGATGATTTAGCCCAACTTAGATATCTCTCCTTCCATAATAAACTTCAGGCCCGTCCAAACCCATTAGCATATAATTTCACATCCTATTTAATTCCTTATAATACATCCCTTCTCTCCACCCCCTCCTTGACTAACACGCTCATTGCTTCGATTTACGTCTCCGCAGTCAAGTGTGTGTTTCGTTTTCTTTCTTATTCTCTTTCTTATTTCAGACTTCTCAGTTTCTTTCCTCCTTCCTTTCATCCCTCTGCTCTGTTTTAACTCTCTATTATATTATACTTTGTCTATACATCTTGATAGACTTTATAACATCTCAATTTTCTAACTATTCTATTCACAATATCTTAATTTTACTGTTTATTTCCGTTTCTTATATAACTTCATATTTTTCTGTTTTTACATTTTATTCTAAGATTCCCATTTTAATACTTATGTCACCTTTTTTGACTATGTTTGCTTCATCATTCCACACTTTGTACCGCTTATTATCATTTATCTCTTAGTTCTTACTATTGTCATTCTTCTAACAACTGAATTTTACTTTAATTTTTTTTTACCTACACTACTTATGTTTCTCATACCTTGTTATCTGGTTCTTTTCTTAGCCCTGATGATGGCCTCAACTTCAGGTCGAAACGTCGGCAAATGTCAAAATAAATATTATCATTTATTTTTGCAATCGTATTTCTGACTGATCACCCCAACTATTCTTCTCTTCATTATTCACGACAGTCAACCATTTACCAATTATTGATTCCTTATAATTCCACAAGGGAACTGAAAAGAAGATGGTCTCGGGACCACTATTATTATAGTAAGAACATAGGCACAGACTTTCGATTATAGTTGGGGATTCCCAAAAAAATCAGAGAGGTTTATATTATGAACAAACAATAATATAGATAAAAACTAACATATATAAATGTTATATATTAGGTTTATTTATTTTATTTTATTATTTTTTCTTGATATGAGTGTATTTAAAATTATGTTAACAAAGCAATTGAATATATTTATTTCAATTCTCCGATGCTTCAAATTAGCCACGGAAAATGTGATAAAATCCTCACCTAAAAATGTAAGAGTGGACATGAATGAATCATAAAATGCTAGAATACGTTGCTACATACAATATCTTTGAATAAAAACTAAAATTTCAATAATAGGAACACAGGGCGTGTTAAAATACTTGCCTACTTACTTCAAAGGCTTAGCTATCTAGTCGACTTATCCTATTTTCTTAATTGATTTTAATTTACATATTTTATTCATTCTGGTATTCTAATTGTTATTGATTTCGACTTTATTTTTGTTTTTTTGAAATATTGGGTGGGGAGGCGAAACGATATTCTCGTTCTCTCTCAATTTTTATTGGAGGGCGGTCCCCAAGTATATGCTATGGCTTGCCACTGGGTTGTTTCTCTAGAAGTGTGTTCCTGTCATTATATGATTTGAAATTTACATGTTATATATTTAATTATTGCAGTTGTAAATTTATTTATAAAAGAAGTTCTTTCCTAACAAATAATACTTAATACGCGTTTTCAATAAAATAAAACTTGTAACTCTGAAGATCCTTGGCATAGTTTCAATTACGAATCGATTGTACTAATGATATTAATAGCCCTGCCTAGCCTCTGAAGTTGACATTCTTAAACATTGAAACCTCCGACAACAGCCGAAAAAAATGTCATGGCCTATCCGTCGAAAGGAGTCATCGATAGAGCTGTTTTCGAACAATCGCTGTAACGACACTCAGATCGGAGACTAACGACTTGGCATTTGGACGCCATACCTTTCACAAGTACCATTATCAGCTGTGCGCTCTATAAGTCAAGGTGTGAGTTGTAATCGCCGCTGTAGCCGCGCGGCTGAGCACTTTGTTAAATAGTCGCTGTCATTGGTCCATTGTGTTCTAGCTCCATCAATCTTAGCTAGTGCATGCGATTATTGCTAGTGTACTCGTTGCAATCGTATGCAATTTATAGCGCAATAACCTCCTCCTAATAATAATAATAATAATAATAATAGTAATAATAATAATGATAAATTATACTGCAATCTGCCATGTGATTAGCGGCAGGAAGGCTATTCTCTGAAACAGTAGGCTTTGTAGTCGCCATTCAAGATCAGGTCATTGCCACCAGGTCATATAGGAGGGCACGTTCTAAAAGACACTACAACATCTGATAAATGTCGACTTTGTTCAACGCCGTACGAATCAATCCAACATATCACAGCTGGATGTGGAGTACTCGCTGGTACGGAGTATTTGCACAACAATGTGGTGAAAATATTCCACCAGACTCTGGCTATGAAACTTAACCTGTTGGATGAAAAGGTGCCATATTATAAATATAATCCGATAAGGCTGCTTCAGAAGGGTTCCCTCAAGATGTATTGGGACGAATCTATAATAACGGATCATACAGAGCCGAGATCCTTATTATAGCTTTAGGAGCAAAGAAGGCAAAGTTAATTGATATCGAGATTCCAAACGATAACAACATAAGCACAACCGTGGGAGAGAAGCTCCGTAAGTACCAAGAACTGCCGATCGAATTAAAAGTTGTACTATTTGGAAAGCGTATTGGTCACACCAATAATAATATCAACCAATGGTCTGATCCCTATGTCAACGGTGGCAGGTACGGACGGCTTGGAATTACCCCCTAGATGTGTTAAGAGAGGCTCAGCAAGCGGTTCTCTTGGATACAGCCAGAATTACAAGAAAGTTTTTAAATATCTAAAAAATATTATAACTGCTGGTGGTTGAACTTGTCCCCCACCTTCAGCTTTAAATCCGCAAAAGCGAGAATAAAAAATATAATAATAAATTATACTGCAATCAATCTTTTATAACAGACCATACTGTGCTCCATAACAGACCTCATATCGTGTTGATCGAGAGTAATATGAAAACTGCAGAGATAATAGATATCGCTGTGCCAAATGATGGGATCACCAACCCAGTTTGCGCCGAAATAAAATCGGAAATATCAAATTCTTGCAGCGGAGTTAAAAGATCTGTACAGACTGAACAAAGTGACAGGAAGGGCTTTAGTGATCTCTAGCAATAGACTGATTCCAAAATAGACTGTAGAAGCTGTCGAGAAGTATGACCTCCCAACAGACACAATAATAGAAATCCTGAAAGCTTAACACTGCGAGAATCGTAAGGAGCTTCCAAAATATCCAACAGAACTACAAAAATTGACGTGAAGTGGTTGAAGTTAATTCTTCCCCACTCAAGGAAAATATATTATTTTAAAGTGTTAACAAATAAAGAATAATAATAAAAACTATGTTGGTCCATATTCCATAAATAGGCATCACTAATATCAAAAAAACCTTTTATGGTAGATATATTCGAAAGATTGATTGTTAAGGAAAATAAAAAATGGTTGGTGTTTAAATGCGATTAAACATGAGATTTCGTGTATAGAGAGGTAAGGAATTCCAGAACGAAGAAAGTAGTAAATTTTTTTTCAACCAATACCGAAAAATGGCAATGAAAAAATCGATTGCGATCATACTTCAACACTCGGAAGTTTACCTTCTCGATATCCTAGACCTCCAAGTCTTTGTTTGCTTATGTCGATCCGATATTATCGATATAAAGATAAACCAATAAATCGATGAGGGACGAAGATCGAGATCAGCTGCTTAACCTTTGAGTCGTTGCGTTGCAACGCAGTATCGTAAAGTGTTCTTCAGTAAATGTTTCATTTCTATCTCGTTGGAGTAGGACCATGTGAATTAGCATACAATGCCTTCAAAATTGTTACTATCGATTATGCGAGAGCTTTTGTTTCTGTTTATTCGTATCGTGGAGGCATAGCTTTATTAAATATAAATTATTCAGGAATCGTTTTATCTTCAACTAACCTCATTCCTTTGCACGCGTGCGCGCTTTATATTACTCATTGTATCTACAACCTGACATTTAAGAACTGGAATTTTTTACAGAAATAACTATGAAGTGAAACTTAAATCTATAACTATTACATATATCATAAATTTGTAACTAACGTGTTCTTTTAAATTGGATAGTTGTGTAAATTTTCAACTTTCATTTGTCGATGAAGATTATGTTAGAAAAAATGAATAGTTTAAAATTAATTTTATTTACTTTTATAAAAGAATTTTTAAAAATTAGAGTAGAGAGGCTAAGGAGAAAATAATTATATTGGCTTTTCCGCAACAGACCCAAATGGTTTGATACCTCTCTATGGTTACCAGATCTCAATCCAATTGGGTAATAGTTGTATTTTTTTAGAATAAATAATTAGAAAAAGAATAAGCACAAAGAAAACCGAACTGAAGCTTGTATAAAAGAATCAGGGGTGTCCATCCTCCGCTCCGAAGGTGTAAAATCTACCTTCCCCCTTCACCCAAGATATTTTATTGCTCAAGTCTTCTTAAAAACTGAGCAAGCTAAGGTATGATATAAAAAAAATCGTAGATCATATACAATTACACTGGAACACAAAAAGAAAAAAAAAAAGGAAAACACCGTGTTTTACCCTATTAATCTTTCAATTTCTTCACTTCTTAACCTTTAGTCCCGTTATCTGTTTATTTACAATTAAAAGTAACCTCCACTTGCTTGTTATCCACTAATATCTTATTATTATGTTATCTTATCCATATTTTAACTTTACTGTAACAATAGTTATTCAATTTTCAATCTATTTATTCGTTAACATTCATTTATTCGTTAACATTCATGTATTTATTTTCTTTTATCTATTTTCTTATCATGTATTTATTTTCTTTATATTTTATTTCTGTATCAGACAACTTCTTCGTATCTTATATATACTTATGTTTATTTTTTATTTTATTTTTATTTTTTCAACATGTTTGTATCTTTTGTAGCCCTGAAGACGACCTGCACAGTGGGTCGAAACGTCGGCAAAAATTAAAATAATTAATATATTTTAATTTTTTATTTATTTGACCGCACCCTCGACTAACTCCTTCTCATATTATATTAACGGTCAACCATCTCTACATCATTATGAATAAAAGAAAGATTGAATCATTCACTTCTCGGTTAGTGGATTCAATGCCAAGGTGATTCCAGAATGTTATTGCCCCAAAAGGATATGAGAACAAATATTAAGTAATAATTAAATAGAAATTTTTGAAGGTTTTTTTCAAGATTTCTAATCATTTATGTTCATTATTTAATTATTGTTTATTATTTGTCTGTCCTTTTCCTGTCATTTACAAAATATAAAATACATCTGGTTTTTTGTTAAGACGTTTGTTAATAATACTATTTATGTTATGAGTGTAATGTAGTAATGAAACTAGTCATTAAAAATTAATTAAATGAATAGGTTTAAAATATAAACTTATTTTAGAAATTAAAATTAAAATTATACTATTTATGATGTGAGTATATTTATTATTGAAACTCTAGGCATTAGAAATTAAATAAATGCATGTGTTTAAAATAGAACTGAATATATAAGGTATATTTATAGCGTACGTTTCGGCCAACTTTGTAGATCTTCATCAGGACTAAAAATTAAGGATAGGAAAAAATTACTATTAATTGACAAAGGATACGAAACTTTTATAAGAATTTTTATTACCTTATACCAATTAATAGTAGTTTTTGGATATTGTTCCATATATTGTAGCCCGATGAAGACCAACGAAGGTCAAAACGTAGTCTTATATTACACTAATAAATTATGTGATCGTTTACCATACCCTCTCCCATCCTCTAACCCTCGTTTAGACTAACTACGAACTATGAAACTGAATATATAATATTCTGTAACATACTGTTATTTTTTTTTTCGCTTATTATATTTTCAAGCATCCTAATACTTTTTAAACTGACTGTGCTATTACGATATGGCTCAATGAAACAAAGTAGTAACAATAAACGTCAATCTATCTATAAAAAATAACTGCAAGAGTAATCGAATTATTAATTTACGTAAACATCGTAAATAGCTTAAAATCATCGTAAACTACAACTATGTTATTTAAGAAAATTCTCGAAATAGCGTTTTTAATCTCGAGATCCCTTAACTTTGTTTATTTAATTAGTAACTAAAACGCGTAATTACTCATTTGCTTTCCACTTGTATTGTAATACTATTAAAGCACGAAATCGAGAAAAAAAAGGTGGCCTTCAAAAATATTGGACCGTTTGTGTGATATACACCCCCAACATGTCAAAATAACGAGGTTATGCATGACAAAAGGCCCAATATTTCTATAGGCCACCTTTTTTATCGATTGTGTAATCAAATTATTTTACGTTCTGAGTGGAAAACAAATGGGTATTTATGAGTTTTTAGTATCAAATTAAATAGACAGAGTTTGCCGATCTCCAAATTGATGACGCCCCAGTTTCAAGAGTTTTCGTAAATAAAATAATTGCAGGTTACGATGATATGAAGCTATTCACGAATTTTCAGGTGGATGTTAATAATTTGATAATTTGTACCACGGACTAAAAGATTACAGATCTTTATTCACTGGGGTATTTCGCTCCTATTTATTATTAATACATATAAGAATAGTACGAAGAAAATTTCATACACAAATATAAGAGGAAAAAAATCAATTAAATAAATAATGAGGAATGTAAAAAGCACTCCATTCTTTATCTCTATCAGTCAGGCACTCAATGAGCTCTTATCGATAAGAAATAATATTTTTAATCTTGTTTTCGAACGTATATAAGGCAAACATATGCAATATAAATCTTACGTCATTTTATCAGGAAAATTGCTACCTATGATTTCAAATATATTATTACCAATTCATCCATACAAAAAGTTTTTCCTTCGTCACCCGCGTTAGCAATTTTATTTTTTATATTTCTCAACCAATGTATACAAGTTAAAAGAACAAAAACTTTTGCCAAATTTTTCCTTTTTCGATCCTCAAGTTGATATCCATTAAATCAGCCGCCATTTTTACAGGTGGCAAGATCGGACTTTTAAACTCTAATTTTGTTAATATAAATGTAATAAATATTTTTAAAAAATGTATTTAAATTTTTCATCAAATAATGTCGATATTTCTCATGAGCACTCGGACTTCCGCTGGATTGTTACCAAAAAAATATTGATGTCTCCGAACCAAATCTAAGCTTTAAAGTAAGTGGAGATAGATCGCAAGTATTATTTGTTTATAAAGGAAGGAGATGGTCCGGGATGGGGTTATAAATAGGCTAAACAGTGGCATAACTATTTTATTAAAAACCAACGTTTCGACCTGACTTTGTAGGTCTTCTTCAGGGAGGTATGTTCAGCTAGGAGTTTCACTTAAAACTACTAATTTTCATGTTGCCCCCTCATTAAAATCCAATTTACAACATTCATTATTAAATTTCAGTTTTAAGTGAAACTCCTCGCTGAACACACTTTCCTGAAGAAGACCTGCAAAGTCGGTCAAAACGTTGGCTTTTAATAAAATAGTTTTGTCACTATTTAGCCTATTTATGACCGCCACCCCGGACCATCTCTTTCCTTTTTAATGCAACGGTCAACTATTAAATATTCAACATTATTTGTTTATGCTTCATTAAAAAACTACTAATAGTTAAACGAATTGATTCCTTCCGTATGCCTTAATTCATAAGATTTCCAATGTCCACAGTAGTTCCAAATGGCGAAAAATTGAACATCCTTTAATTTTTATCTCTGGACTTAAACAAACCAATACATATAAAATAAAATTTTTCATTCCGTCATATTTTTTGTTCTCTATTTCCTCGAGAATTGAATAGTAGGTTCAACGTATACATAAGTATGACAAGCTTCAAGTCATAGTTGCATCCACGGGCGGATCTACTAGGGGGGCTTCCGGGCTGAACCTCCCCCCATCAAAATGGTAAAATATAACAATGTTTTCTAGGGAAAAAAAAAATTAAAAAAATATAAATTATTTTCCTCCGTGTTCGTGGAAGTACATTTAAAAGGACTTAAGGAATCACTTAAACACCATTTCATATAGGTAGTCAGTTTATTTCTGTTTTTTCCAATGTAATTATCGTTATTTTTATGAAAAAAAGATAGGTTTCGGGCTGAAGCCCCTC